CTTCAATGTTACATTCCTGCTTAGCAATTTAAATCGTATGCTTATCAAGACTATATAAGTTATGCATTGTTCTCTACTCACTAACATCACCAAAATCAAAGGTAGTACATACTGCAACAGTGTGGATATTTAGCAGAAAACAACATAGTAAAACCTACAGCTTTAAATTTGAGTTTTAACAAATTTAAAATGTAGAGCATCCACATCCAAGTAGAACATCCAAAAGATCTTACATTTAGATAAACTAAGCATTTTTCAGCAGAAATAAGTTAACTTTGCCTTGTTTGTATCTTCCAAATTAACTTGAAGGTAACACCAAAAGCAATAAGAAATATAACACACCAACCTCTCACAGATTAAGAAGATCTTAGTTCTGGTCAGGATAAAGGTTTACAAACACTTGCAAAAGGTTTTGATGAGTAGGTGAATGCATAAAAGTCCACTAACTATAGACACAGATCTTACTAAATAAAAGATGAGTTAGAAATTCTTAATTTCCTGAGCTGCTTTATATATGAATTAAGAATGCAGATAAAAGCAATAATATTGTACACTAGATCTAAAATCCAACATATTAAATGATTATGCTTACACATTACCTACTGCTTAGTTGAACTGCCTTCACATAAAAGGTAAGAATTTAAGATGAAGGCCATATGGTATTTGCATTAATGTAACCATCAAGTATTGTCAATCAACTAGCTAAAAGTAACATGTCGCCATGGCACAGTAGAACTAAAAACATAAAATCTTCAATAGTCAGAATTAAAGGTGAAGGGGGTGCACGACCTAGTGGAGCTTGGGGAGGGTAGATGTATGCAGCTTTATTGTAAACATGTATTCTCCAGAAGGTTTGCAAACATGTGAGGAATGTGAATTTGATAGATGTGTCAACTTAACCTTAATAATAAACTTTGCTTAGGCAAGGAGCAGACTGATTCAACATTCATATTCGCATTTTGTTAAACATATCAGATGTATCAACAAAGCCACCGTTGCTTTATTACAAGACTTCAAATGGACAATGAATTTTCAGGGAAAATCAACTATTCTACCTTGTTTCAAATTTCAAAAATAAATATGGTGTGTAATATATTTTAAAGGTATAATAAATTATAATATTTCAAATTAATGTTTTAAAGTCTAAATTATAGCATTCCAAACACAGTATCAGAAAAAACAATCAAGGGAAATTTAGATAACAATCACTAAATTAAGCCAGCCAAGTGCAGGCACCTGCAAAATCTATTCAAACAAGCATCATGAATTGTTGAGTTGAGAATTTCAGAATAATTTATATAATGCACAAGACACTACTGTAAAATTTATAAAACGTGAATGTACTTGGTTAATGAAAGTACACAATACCTCTAATGTAATAACACCGCGAAAATGTCTTTCCTCTTGTTTTTTGGTGTACCCAAGCTGTGAAGTGAAAGGATAAAGTCAACACTAAACAGTAAAATGTATTAAAGTGACCAACTAAATATCTCAGTTTTAATCAATAATAGAACTAAGCTGTCTTAGACGATTATATTTGCGCCTCTAGAGAAAATACCATGACTCAAGAGACTAGCATGTCAATCAGAAGAGTGTAAAACTAGATTTAGGAAAGTAATGATAAAAGCCCAAAGAATGCATGTAAATAATCATCTTCACCAATAGTTACCAACCTTTCCTGTCTTCTCATTTAGCACAAACCATCGCCTGCTCCAACCATTAGTTTTTGCACTTTTCTTTAACAAAAAACCTGCAAGCAAATAAAAAACTAGATTTAGTTTAATGAAGATTTGAAATATTTATTTTGGCAAATTCCAACTTCCAAATTCATGCATCATTATTCGTTATTGCAATACCAAAATGCAAATTAGGAATAGCACCCATGCCATTTAGGGTAGATAGCCAAGAAACAGAATTGACAGCCTTTCAGAATTAAATTCCTTTATAGTCATTAATAAATTAATAGAACATATTATATATAGAAAGGCTAGAATAATAACAGTGAGTAATAGAAAAATTTAAGAATTTCTACAGAATTTTTCAGCATAACAGCTATTTCCAGATGTTTCTCTGAATACAAGTGTGGTGTATGACATTTAGTCGGTCTACATGAAAATTCTAATTCCAAAATTCCAAAATATAACATCAGACTCAGTAGAAGTTTGAAACCCTTCAATCAAACAAACAAATTGAATCACATCATTCATATTGACCAAGATTAATCTCTATAGAATAATCATTTGCATTCTCTCCTTTTCCTTTCTAGTTGTCCATCATGAGATCAATAATCACAACTTCACAAGCAAGCAGTCAATAGCAACGCAGAGAAGCTACCCCAATAACACTAGTGGGATATGTTTCATGGATACACACTAACAAGATGCGGGATTTCCCAAAAAAAAACTAAGATACAGGTTTGTTAATATAATTTTTTAAAAAGGATATACATATAAAAAATATATAAATTTATATAAACATGACCAGAATTATATAAATGATAAAAAAAACACAATAAGAATAACTTATAACAGTTAAAAACTCATCATTTCCTTGTCCAGTGAAAAAATAATCCCTAAATCTGATTCATCAAGAGAAAGAGTAGCAACATCAAGAATGGTAGGCCCATCAAATGATTCTCATTCCTCTCCTCCACCAAGATCACATACTTTATGTTAGGAATGATTTTAGGGAGCAGCGGAAACCTCTAAAGGTTTATTATAGAAAGAAAAAGGGAAAGGGGCATATTGTAAATGTTAGCTGACTGGGTCAAGATTGTAAGTTAAATCTGTTACTCTGTCGTAAACTCTTTAAATAAGACCTCTATTGTTTTGTTGGGGGAGTTTTTTTGGTAAAATTTGTATAACTGGAAGTTTCCAGTGTGAAAGGAGAGTGCTCCTTTTGGGGTTATACTTGTATACCTTAGTTCTTGTAAGAATTTTTGTTCATAATCAATACAGAAGTCATTCAGTTTTTCAGTCTTATTGTGTGGGTGTGCTAATCTTGGTTAGGATTCTGTTCTTTTCCTTTCTCAAGAAGGGATACCTAACACTTCACTTTCACTCTAGTTATAACTTACTATCTATTGATAGTAGAGAAAGATTTGTATGTATAAAATCTAAATCTTTAACTCTCCTAAGGTTGAGCCTATTTCCTTATATAGAATAGACAAATGAACATGTCCTCCAATTTCTCTCATAACAAGAATATGAGAATGGTTGTGAAAGGAGTTTCAATGCAATGAATTTATGTTTGGAGATTGCAGCACCATATATGACCCACCACTCCTTAGGATTTAAGTTCCATCTATTTTGTAAGGAATCTAATTGGCCAATGATTTCATTAATCAGTAATAGAGTATGAGCTTGATACATACCCAAATAGTACCCATATGTACCCAAAATAGTACCCATATGTACCCAAGTTAAGTACCCAATTACTTTTTGTTTGAAAATTGTTTTCGGTACGTATCCATTACATACCCACAAATACCCAACGCTGGCAACACATAGCGGGTATGGGTACGTACCCATTTGTGTATCATATGACTTTAAGAGTAACCATGCTTTAGAGATTCTTTATTATAGTTCTTATTATTATACTAATTCTATTTAATTAATAAATTTCTATTATATATTATATTATTATGTTAAATTTGACTCTATTATATAATGTATATTAATATTTTTCTATATTTCATTAAATATTACAGAGTAGCTTATAGTATTAATTATAGTTATAGCATAATATGAGTAGTAGTAATAATAAAAACAACAAACAGAAAACACCTCAATTGTAATACTTTGGAGAAGAGAAACTTGAAACAGACTAGGGTTTTCTTTGGGTGGGAAGGGCCCCAAATTGGGTCAGTCTCACCCAAACAAACTACAATTGGGAGGATTTTTTGCTGCTTTTTTATAATTAATCATTTATTATACTATTATAATATTATAATACAATAAAGTACTCCATAATATCTAAAAAGAATATTTTAAAATATAAAAATATTAATACATAATTCTAATAATTATAATTATATACTATATACATAATACACATATATAACCTATAATAATAATATAATATATACATATAGAGAAAAAGGCAATATATATACACACACATCATAAACTTAGAATTGTGACCATCCCACTATCCACAGACCGGCTCCCACTATAGTGTTGGTTGCTCCACACCGTTATTGACTACTATGATTTCCACTGAACTACCACCCAAACCACAAAGAAATTATAATTCCCAGATGATATACAGTTTTTTCCTGACATTTCAAGAGCATTCTATCAAATTCAAACAGAATAACTACACAAAAAAACTATGGGGAATTGAGACCGCAAGAAATTTCAATTAGCAAAATGTAGTAGCATAAAGAATAGGACAGACCTGCTGTAATTTCTCCTTCAGGACCAGCAACCTTTAAACCTGAGCCATCTTGCCCTTCTTTCTCTGCCTGACCTGATTTGTCCTTTTCCTTATCTTTCTTCTCCTCCTTCATTGATTTCATGCTTCCACCAGTTTGGGGACTAGTGGCCTACAATAAGTTAACAAAGCAGTTTAAATTCCACAAGTCACAAAAAAGAAGAGTAAAAAATAAATCAGAAAATCAAAGTTACAAAAGCAGAACTCATACTTCATCATTTTTAAATACAATCCTTTTGTTACAGTAAGAGACCACCTACCCGGTTAAGCATAGATTGTTCAGCATCTTGCCCTTTCTTTGAGGATCGGCCTTTCAGTTCCTCCTCTCGACGTTGCCTTTCCATCCTACAGTAAATAACATGGAATTACTAGATCAATAATGGCCTCACAAATATAATGTGGGTGGCATCTACATGTATAATGTTATGTGTAAGCAAGGACTAGAAAGAATTTTGTGAATAACTATGCAACACTATTCAAAAGAACCACCAAATGAAAAAATGCAGCATGTTCCTAAACAATTGTTCTTGGTGAACAGGAAATAGCAAATAGATGCTGTTTAAAAAATTTCCAACCAACAATTTGTTCTGTCAAGATAAAAGTGGGTTTGATCTGGGCACAAGCAATAACACATGCCTGAAAAAGGTATGAGCCAAATGCTAGATCAGCTTAGATATGGACCAAAGATATGGAGAGTTTACTGCAGAAGGAAGAATGAGAATAGAGGCACAATGTGGGATCTAGTTGCAATTCTTCAATATCATCATAACTTGATCGTTAAGCTTCAAAAATGGGGGGCTTAAACGAATAATTTACACTTCAGAAAGGTCAATATGCTTCAAGCAATGGGACAATGGTGGATGTTTCTCCCAGACTTGGTAGAGACCCAACCCAATCCTTCACCAAGGTGAATCTTGAAGGGGCGTATTGATAGACCCCAATACCAAGGCATGTGCTACAAGGATTGCAAAGTAGAACGAAAAACACACGGGGATAAGGAGGACAACATGAAAAATAATGGGGATATTCAAGTTGTTAAGTGTGGATTATAACCAAGCACAGAGCTACCAAGGAATACTCAGAGGGAGGGAGGGAGAGTTTGAATGGAAAAAAAATGAGAAGAAAAGATGGGTAGTACATGGTAGGCTTGAATTGAGGGGAAAGAAGATCAAGGGCTATGGCTAGAGGTTATGTGCATCTTCAAAACTCTATATTTATCTGTCACTTTCTGCATTTTCTGCTCTTTGGAGGAGCTAGTGACTCCATTGTTTTCACCAAAAAAATAAAAATGGTTGCTAACAAATAGACAAATAAAGAGTAGGGAACAGATCATCTCCCCCAAATGAGAGGATTTAGATCCATTCAAGAAATGTCAAAATTACCTCCTTTGTACCAAGCGGATGAAGTGTTGGGGTGGGACAAAAGCACGCTCCATATCAACTAGAGCAACCACCATTTTCTTTGATTCATTTTTAAACCCTTCTAGTGCAGCAGTTGCAAGAGCCACAACCTTGAAATATTTTTAAACAGCGTTATCTAAAAGAAATAGAAAGCACACTCCCCACATAAGGGATAACTTTAAGAAGAAAATATATAAAGGAACAATGGGCAACAAAAAAGAGACTCCAATTTAACAGAATATATTAATACAGGTATAATGTAGGAACAAAATAAAATAACAATAAAGAACCCTACCTCTCTCTTGAAAGGTGGGTATCTTCCTAAACCAGGTGTAGCATTGGCAGCAGATGAAACAATATCTATCAGGACACGATGTACCTGGAGCATAAAGCAATGAGAATCTCCATCAGTAACAAGTATAACAGAAGGAACAAACTAGGAAAAATGCACAGTGAATCAAATGCCAACGTTAGCTGTAACATAGAATTACAATGTAGTACTACTTCTGATAGGAACACATTTTTTCTCATAAAGACAATGAGACTAGCTCCTTACAAGAACACAAAATATGGAAAATAGAAGTCTATAAATTGAGTTGAATTAGAATCATAAACTTTACACACAAATGATGCAGTCATCATTTTACATGTGCTGATAAGAACTTTGGGAGAACCACACCACAAAAGCTTGCCTACAAGTTGAAGAGCACCAGCCCTATAAACCCCACACCAAGATCTCATGCTTCTAATGTGGGACTCAAGTCTCATACCTTGCAATTGGATCTAACATGTGCTTTGAGAGAAATCCCAAAAGATATGCAAGAAATACTAAATTATCAAGTTTTTTTTCACATAAGTATTCTCTTTCGAAGACAATCCTGTTTGAGGCACAATCGAACACTAAATGTAATCACCTCTCCTAGTTATGAGGGGGACTAGACTAGACTGTAGTTATCAGAATCCTACAATTCACAATTCAATTCGGCAACCTACCGATTTGTATCAGAAGATGAATATAAAATGACTTTGCATCCTACAATACATTAATGAATCTATGAAATTTTGTATTATTCATAGTAGTCAATCCCGGATAGCGGCGCGGAGCGGCCGACCCTAAAACTGGGATAGCGGGATGACGCGGAGCGGGATAACCGCTATTTAAATATTAATTTATATATATTAAATAATTAATAATATATATATAAAAGCTAAAAAAACAAAAAAAATAACTCTAAATTCATGCATTAAACATTTTTAATAATTAAAAGTTCATAGTACTCAAACAATACATAATATAAAATGTCTCCAAAACAAAGTGTTAAAGCTCTAAGTAAGTAAAAAATTAAACATTATAGTTTAATCTTCTTCCTCATCAAGATTAAAGTCTTCCTCTCCCTCAAATTCATCACTCCCACTAGCATTAGAATTATATTCTTCTTCTTCCTCTACATCATCATCCTCGTCTTCTAGTACTTCCATCACTTTTTTTCCTTTATCTTTCTTGGA